TAAAGGCAAAATCAAAAAGCTTTTTGAACCAAAGGCCAAATGTTCGTTCTCTCTCTCTCTCTCTCTCTCTCTCCCTCCCTCCCTCCCTCCCCCTCCCCCTCCCTCCCTCCCTCTTCCTCTCCCTCCCTCCCTCCCTCCCTCCCTCTCTCTCTCTCTCTCTGGAATAGAAGCTCACTGGATTAGACAAAGGGAAATGAAGAGAAAGGAGGGGGAATGGGAATAGAAAAGACAATAGAATGTCAGACATAACTTTCCTGTGTTCATATATGAATACATGACCAGTGTAACTCCACATCATGTACAACAACAAGAATGGGAAGTTATAGTCCATGTATGTATAACACATCAAAATATACTATCATATATACCTAAAAAGAACAAATTAAATGAAAAGCTTTCTTTTTTTAGGGCTGGAGGTACCAGGGATTGAACTCAGGGGCACTGAGCCACACCCCTAGCCGTATTTCGTGTTTTATTTAGAGACAGGGTCTCACTGAATTGCTTAGTGCCTCACTTTTGCTAAGGCTGGCTTTGAACTCTCATTCGCCTGCCTCAGCCTTCCCAACTACTAGGATTACAGGCTTGCGCCACCAAGCCCGGCTTAAATAAAAAGCTTTTTAAAGGTGAACCAGGAAATTATCTTCATGAACTTGGGTTAGGAAACAATGCCTTAAATGTAACATAAAAACCACTGGCTATAAAGAAAAAAATTGATAAACAGAACTACATTAAAATCAAGAATTCTATTAAAAGGAAGACACTATAATGAAAATGAGAACAAGTTACAGAATGAGAATATATTTGCAATAACAATAACCAGCAAGTGGTCAAAACTCAAAATATACATATCTGTGTGTGTATGTATACACAAAAATAAACAAAAAAAAAGGTTATCAATAGAAAAATGAACAAAAAAAGAACACAAAAGAATCTCAAGTTACCAATAAACATACAAAAAGAATTACTTATTCGTTATCAGAGAAAGGTAAATAAAAACACATCATCAGATTGTCACAACTAAAAATTCCGACAATACCAAACATTGGTGAGAATGCAAAGCAAGGACATTCTCATACACTACCAGAGGGAAGTAAACTTGTATAATTAGTTTGGCATCATCTAGTAAAATTAAAGCTACACTGCTCTATAAACCCAACAATTCCACTCTTGGATTATGCCTTAGTGAAGCTCAAGCATTACATGCACCATTGTGTGTAATAGCCAAAAACTGAAAACAACTAATATGCCCATTAACAGTATAATGATAAATAATTGATGATATAATCACATAATGGGATACTATGCAACGATGAAAAGGAACTAACCATAGCTTTAAGTGATAATAAAGATAAATGTAACAAATGTAATACTGATTTTGAAAGAGACAAGACACAACCAAATACACTTAATATGATCCCATTCTTACAAAGTTCAAGTGCATACAAAACTAAATTTATAATATTTAGGGGTAGACACCTAGGTAGGAAGCAATAAAGGAAAGCAAACAAATGAATAACTTAAAGATAGGATAGTGGTTTCCTTTAGGGAGAAGGGATCAGATTCAGAAAGGAGGCAGGAGGGAATCTGGGGTGTTAGCAGAATCCCTTGACCCTAATGTCATTAATATAAAATCACAAAATTATTTGCTAAATGTACAAATGTTTCTATACTTTTCATTACAAAGATTAAATGTTTCAGCCAGGTGCAGTGGCACATTCCTGTAATCCCAGCAGCTTGAGAGGCTGATGCAGGAGGATGGCAAGTTCAAGGCCAGCCTCAACAACTTAGTGAGGCTCTATCTCAAATAAAAAATAAAAATGTCTGTGGATGTGGCTCAGTGGTAAAGAACCTCTAGGTTTAATCCCTGGTACAAAAAATTAATTAAGTAAGTAAGTAACTAACTAACTAAATAAATAAATGTTTCGCTAGTTTTTAAAGGCACACACCTATCGTTTGTCAAAAAGAATCATCCAGCACACAACCACATGTCAGCTTCAATTGGTTTCACATATAAAACAGCTTTCTAGAACTGCAATTCAGTAAACAATTTTATTATTTCTTTTTTTCCTGTTTAATAAAACAAAAATCCAAAGAGAAAGTATTGTAAAGAATATTATATACCTTCATTTTATATCAATAACATCTTAATAAGAGAAAATAGCCAGGTGTAACAGCCCACACCTATAATCCCAGCGGCTCAGGAGACTGAAGCAGGAAGATAACAAGTTCAAAGCCAGCCTCAGCAACTTACTGAGGCTCTAAGCAACTCTCTAAATAAGATATTAAAAAGGGTCATGGATGTGGCTCAGTGGTTAAGCACCTTTGGGTTCAATCCCTGATACCAGAGAAAAAATATATTTAAAATAGTGAAGATTTTTCAGGACAGGAAATAACTTTATTAGAGTTATACAAAGCTTGATATAGCTGAACTAACTATATGATGGAAAGATCATTCAGATAAACTAAACACACAACATGATTTCCAAGTTACAATTTAATTTTTGTTAACAGTTACCATTTCCATAAGCAAATAATAGCTAGATCAGGTTTAGAAATAATTTTCTACTGCACTCTACTACATAAAATATTAAGGCTTGAAAATTTACAATTTCTCTCATATAAATTTACAATTTCTAGAAATCTTTAAAAACAAAAACTTTTAGGAAAAAAGGGCCAAAAAGGTCTGATAAGTTTAAATTTAAAATTTTTCTTTAAGAAAAAAAAAAAAAAAAAAAGAATATCCTGGCTCCTCAAAAACAAAGTAGTGAAATTAAAAAAAAAAAATTGCAAAGTATTTGAAGTATTGTACTAAAACATAATCAAGCCCACAGAAATTACCCTGGCCACAGTTTTATAGTTTTAGCTGCAAGGATTAAGTCACTAATTTTCCAGAAATTTTTCAACTTATGTCTCACTATAAGAAGAGACATTAACTTTGCTGAAAGTCACTACACCTGAAACAACACAATCTGCCTGTACCATGGGAAACCAAGAAAATGGCTTATAGTCTTCTTAGTCTATTTTTCTGTCCTATCCAGGTATTTTGATTCTTTGAGTTCTAAATGTAGTAACAGTAATTTGTATCATTTACTGAACCCTTTCTAGTGTTCCTCTAATCCTCACATACTGAGTAGGCCTTACTGAAGAGGAAAGTCAGGTACAGAATAAGTAATTTGCCCAAGGTCATATAGACTGCTACTCAGAAAGGGAGTCGAGAAATATTCCCCTTCAGAGTCCGTGCTCTTAATACTATACTGTTTATATTCAATAAAACAAACTTTACACCATGAAAACTGCCTATGATCACCGAGCACCTTCTCTACAAGATTCCAGATGTCTTGAAGGTTTATTTCTGTCTTTCCTAGTTAACTGCATACTCACAGAATCTTAATAGAAGGGATCTTAAAAAAACACTTAGGAAAATCTTTGATTTTACAGCTAAGATTATGAAGTCTAGAGAAGTTAAATGTTTTGTCCAAGACCACAAAGCTGGCTTGGGACCACCAGCACCAAAACATTACTCTTAACTACCAGAAATAACCTTCCCACCACACTAGAAGTCCTTCCTTCCTGTCATGCATATTATACCCTAAGCTCTTGCTATTACCATACTCTACCTCCATACAAACACTGAAGTTCACTTTGCCAGCTTTCAATAGCATTCACATATAGGTTACATATTCTTTCATTTCAACAAATACAAAGTGAAATGCATGTGCTAAGGCAATGGCTGGACCCAAATGCATAACTTTGGCCCCTAATTTTATTATAGAAACCTGAACATATTAACTATGTGACAAGTGCAATAGTAGTCATGTTTTGAAAGCATACAGAAAGGAGTGGATATTCAGGCTGGGTAAAGAGTGAAGACTGAGGTTCTAACAAGATGTATTCAAGGCATGGCAAAGCAGAAGTCTAACAGTGCTTAGCAATAAGGAAAAGGCTATCACTTTTACCTATAGGTAATAAAGTTAAAAAAAAAAAAAACACACTACAAATGACTGTGACTGTGAACAATTTCTTACTATCAGTATACTCACCCATGAAATGTGGACACTACTACTGACCTGCCTACTTTCCAGGATTTGTATGGGGGCCAAATTATGTGAAACAGTTTAAAAACTGCAAAGTTCTGTATAAGTTATTTACTGTTTTCATTTCTAGGCAACCCGGTGGGTTCTTCCCCTAAACTGTGTCTCATAAAAACCTCACCCTTCAGGATGAAAATATTCCTATGACATCATTCATATGCTCCTTAGGAGAGTGTAAACAGTTCACATTAATGCCTTCAGGTTGAAATGCCAAACCCCTCCACTGAAATAAATAAACATACATATGTAGAGTGGTTTGTTTTTTTTTTTTTTTTAACTTCTCAAGTGCTGGTATCGACTTCTAGTTAATGCTTATTATATTTAAAAACTAGTACCAGATGCAAATTTTATTCTGGAAATTTTTTACCAGAAACTTCATTCCATTTTATAGTATGTGGTCCAAGCAGCTAACTCAAGAACTGACTGCAAGTGGCAATCACTTTGTTCTGATCCTAAGAGACGGGTTATGTTTTAGCAATGGATACTATCAAATATATGCCCTGGTCTCCAAAAAAGAAACCGTTTTAGTACAGCACGCATGCACGTGCAGTTGTTACACAAACATACACTGAAAGGTGTAATGAGTTTCCGATTTTAAAATATTTGAGGGCCACAACCCGACCCCTCCCATAAATTAAAGAACATTAATCTCAAGTTTGACAGAGTAGACTGAACAACCCTGCAACCTCAGCAATCACTCTAACTACATTCAAGCCCCATTGTGTTCAGACCAACTGTTTAAGCTACTGCTTGGATGATAAGCTAAATAAAGTTCCAACGCAAATTACAAAGCCAAAGGACGGGGCAAGAGACAGGAAAGGGACTGGGAGAGCGGAGAAGTCCTCGCGCCACTCCGGGCTAGTGGCAGTTTCATCTCCCAAGTGCAACTTCCCGTTTTCTCCCTCTTACCTTGTACACTTTCCCAAAGGCTCCGTCGCCTAGTTCTCCTATAATTTCCCAAAACTCCTCGGGGTTCAGGTCCCTCTTCACATGTTCATATTGCTTCTTCTTCTTCTCGCTCCCCAACTTGAAGATCTTACGGAAATTGAAGAAGGACATTTTTCCTCCGAACAGAGTTCCTTGCACTTAAGGACTAGAAACAACAATAAAAGGCAAAGTTTCTCCTCCCAGCTCTCCCGCGCGAGCCCGGCGGGCGGCGGCGGGCGCGGGGTCTCTGGCTGCTGGGGCCGGGCGGTCCCAAGAAGGCGGGGCGGGACTCGGCTCCGGCCCGCCGTGGGGGGGCGCGGGCAGGCGGCCGCTCCGGAGAGCCCGGCCGCGAGCCGCGCGGGTCGTCGCCTCACCCCCGCCGGCCCTCGGGGGCTGCACCTGCCCGAACGCTCGTCCCACCGCCCCGGCCCGACGGGTCAGAGCGGCCCGGACGCCCGCGGTCGCCGAGACTGAGGCCCGTGTCACGGCGAGTCTCAAGGGGCGGCGGCCACCCCGGGCCAGGGAAGCGGCCGGCGCCTCCGAGACGGGCCGTCGACAAGCCGAGCTCTCCCGCCCGGGGTCAGAGTCTCCTCCACAGCCGTCTGCTCCTGCGACGCGAGGCCCGTGCGTTCCCTCAGCTCTGGGGCACAGCCGCCGCCTCGCTCTCTCTGGAGCCCACAGAGCCTCGTCCTGGAGCGCGCGCGGACGCCGACGCCGACTCCGCAGCGCGCCCGCGCGCTCCCGGCCGCGCCCGCGCGCGCTCGTGGTGGGGGGGGGCGTCCCCTCTGGCCCCGCGCACGCGCGTTAGGTCCCACTGGCTCGCAGCCCCAGCGGCTTACAGGCTCTCCGCACTTGGTTGGTGGTGGGTGCTTAAGCTCTTCAGTGCCCGACCCTGGTTCCCGGCCAAGCCTCAAATCCAAGTCAGTCCCGGCTTTAGTGGAGCAGCCCCTGAGGGCATGACCCGGTTGATTGTGCTATAGTTTGTTGCCTCCGTTCAGGATCTGGGGGAAGCTGTAAAGCGAAAAAGCTAAGCTGTCCAGGTTGGGCCCAAAAGTTGACTTTTTCACTCTTTATGTCACAAAATACAGTGAGAGGAGCAGACACGTGGTGGCTGTGAGCTTTGGCTCTGGAGCCAGGGGTCTGTAACCTTGGGCAGGTAACCTCTACAGGCCTGTTTCCTCATTGTGAAGTGAAGATCCTAATAGTCCCTACCTTCAGGTTGCGGCGAGGGAACCCATGGTGCCTGCACCAGCAAAAGCTTCGTTCTCACTGTTGTTTCAGTGTGCAAGTAAGACAGACAAAAACTGTTTAGCGCAATTCGAAAGTGATGACCGCGACACTCCCTTGAAGGTGACCTAACCTCTCAGCCACCTCCACAGCCATAAACCTGGTGCCGCCTTTGGTGACTCCATCTGAACCAAGGCCCTTGCTTCCTGATCTGCTGGGGTTGTGTGGGCGTTGACTGGAACCCGTCAGATGGTGACCTACCGTTTCCCTCCTCCACCTGATGACTGGTGGGGGCCAGTCATTCATCATAGTATCAAGTACCTGGCAATATTCCTGGCATGGAATAGGAAGGCAAACCTGATGAATGAAGACTGGAGTTAACTGAAGCAAGGCAATGCTGCTATTTACATAATGTCATACTCCACCCCCAACCATTTTGTCCTCCAGCCCTAAAATGTTGACACAAAAATCCTTCTTCCACCAAGAGGCTTCAAATTATTGGGTTTCTCAAGATCCTTCTATGTTTTAAGCAGTTTTATTGAAATATAACTTCAATAAAATATACTTATAAACTGTACATATTTAAAGCATGCACTTTAATATATTTTGACAAAGGTATATGGTCATGAAAATACCATAATCTGGGGCTGGGGTTGTAGCTCAGTGGTAGAACGCTTTCCTAGCATTATGAAGCACTGGGTTCGATTCTCAGAACCGCATGTAAATGAATAAAATAAAAGTCCATTGACAACTAAAAAATATTTTTTAAAAATGCCATAATCTATTTTTTAATTAGTCATTTATGGAGAAAATGAGGCAGTGCACAAAGCAGAAAATAAAAAGTAGTGGAATTTCACCAGCCAAACATAACCATTGATAAGTTTATTGTATTTCAAAACATTATTTTTTGATTATGCATTACCTTTTTTTTTACATGGATAAGATTACACTTCATATAAAGGTTTGCATCCAGCACTTTTCAGATTCTGGTACAATTAATCATTTTTTTTCTCCATCATAAGATATTTAGATTATGTACTATTTTTTCTATTTTAAATAAAATGTTGGTAAATATCTTTGAACACAAATCCTTTCCCACATATTTTTTTCCTAGTACAAATCACCAGCAACAGATTTGGGTCAAAGGTATATGTCTGTTTCCTTTTTTCTTCCTTCCTTCCTTCTGTCAGGCCTTCCTTTCTTCCTTCCTTCCTTTTTGTTATTGTTCTTTTCAAAATAGTAAAGCCTTTACTGTTTTCTCAAATTAAAAGAAAATATTTATGTCCTTGTTAAAATAATTCAAATGCAGGAATTATAAATTAGAAAGCTGTCTGTAATTATCATCTCCTGCCTTTCCCCCACTCAAATTCACTCCTGATTTAATTACTGTTATGAGGTAAGTCTCTGAGGATGGATATATGTTCATAGATAGACTTTTTTTTCCCCCAGTACCAGAGATTGAACCTATGGGTGCTTAACCACTAAGCCACATTTCCAGCCCTATTTTGTATTTTTATTTAGAGACAGGGTCTCACTGAGTTGCTTAGAGCCTCACTAAATTGGTGAAGCTGGCTTTGAACACACAATCCTCCTGCCTCAGTCTCCTAAACTGCTGGGATTACAGGTATGCACCACACGCCCCACTTGTGACATAGAATTTTGTTTCCTAGTTCTGGTTTCATGAATTTATACTTATCTCTAAACTCATCATATCTCCAAACTCATCAGGTCATATACATTAAACAGTTTTTGGAATGTTAATCATGCTTCAAAAAAAAGCAAAGTTTAGAAAACTTTAATAAATATAAATATTCTCATAGTTTTTTTCATATTTTATGCAAAAAGAAATAAACCTCTTTAAAAAGCTTTTTTTTTCAAATAAGTAATAAACATGACCAAAAAATAAAAATAAAACCTTAAATCTATGAACATGAGAGGACTTTGGGATTTAATAAAAAGATTCTAAAACTGGATTGAGAAGATGGTTGCACAACTGTATAAATTTACTAAAAACATTGTTGGATTGTATACTACAATTGATGACTTTCATTGTATGTAAATTATACCCCCCCAAGACCTTTTAAGTTAGTATTACTTTCTTTCTAGGTATATACTTTTTATATTTTTTTAAATGCAAAAATGGTATCATCCTGTACAGAACATTGACATCTTTCTATGCCCCCACAAATTAGTTTGTCTTATCCTTTTCAGTAGCTACATAGTTTCAGTGTCTAGTCATTATAATTTATGTAAGTATTTATTCATTGGCAGATATTTAGGTGATTTCCAATTTATCATTATAAATACTACTACAATGAGCATGCATATATAAATGTGTATTTGTCTGTGATTTCTTAAGGTACAATTCAAGAAGTGGAAATGTCAAGCCAAGACTATATTAGATTGTTTTTTACCTGTATTGCCAGATTGTCCTCTAAAAGGATTAATTGTACCAATTTATACACCTATCAACACTGTGTTCTCATACAGTGCCAAGTACACCACACCCTCAATAGTACCACCTTTTTAATATTTGTCCAGCTGATGGCATCCAAATAGCCTCTCATTTTAATTTAGAATTCTCAGATTATTAGTAATGTAATAACACCTTTTCTTATGTATATTGGCCATCTTTAATTCTTATTTTCTGAACTGTCTCCTCATATCAATGAAGAATATTAAATGATGTTGACATCCTATTAATGAGATAATCAAGTCTCATATACTTTGGTGAAATGTAAATTATGCCCCCCTAAAACCTTTTAAGTTAGTATTACTTTCTTTTTTACCTGTATTGTGGAGTTAAATAATAACTTACACATTTTCATCATGAAGTTACAGCCACAGAAATTATTTAATAAAGCCGAATGAGATGTCATTTAAACAGATTCAGATTTTCCTAGTAATGGCCATGATATCTAAATGTTTGTATTATTCATAAATCATACTTTGGCTTTCCTAAATTTTTAGAACTTTAAAAGTAAAGTTTAACAAGGGGCCATGTATTCATTTAATACACAATTTTTAACTCCATTTACCTTAAAAATATAAGACATTCTCACTAAACAGGTTGGTGAGGTAAGTACTATCCTCACAGTTTACCTGTTAATTAACTTTCTCTTATAACAAAAAGAATGAATATCACTTAAAATTAGGATTTAGGGGGCTGGGGCTATGGCTCAGTGACAAAGCACTTGCCTAGCATGTGCAAGGCACTGGGTTCTATCCTTAGCACCATATACAAATTTTTTAAAAAGGCCTTCTGTCCACCTACAACTATAAAAATTTTTTAAACTTAGAATTTAGTATGTAGCCAATGTACATGCCAGGCACTGTGCTAAGTGGTTTATACATAGCAACCCTATGAGGCAGTTACTATGCTAATCCCTTTGTAAAAGAGAGGAAAACTGAAGCAGAAAGTTAGATAATTTGCTTATAGTTCACAGATTGTAATGACAGATATGAACTTGAATCCAGATCTTGGTAAACCTAACTCCCTAGTATTTGACAACTCCACTAAGATTATCTCCTTAGCCTCACTGAGTTTTTCTAATTGCTATCTCACAGGATTATTGCCACTGAATGTCTTTCTCCTCCCTTTCTTAACTTAAAAACATATTATAGGGGCTGGAGATTTCCCTCAGTGGTAGTGCATTTGCCCAGCATGGTTGAGGCCCTGGTTTGATCCTCAGGCCTACCAAACAAGAAAACCATATTCTACTCAACTGTCTCCACCTTGTTAGCACCCAATCATATATGTGTGTGAGCTTTCTTTCTAGGTATATACTTTTTATATTTAGAAAACATATGGTTACTTATGTGTATATGTGTTTACATTTAAATATATGTGAGTGTGCAGTATGTTGGTGTATGAATGTGTTTATGAACAGGTATGTGTGTGTGTGTGTGTGTATGTGTTTATGCGAGTGTGTATATATTCCTGTGTACATGTGTTTGAGTCAGGTTTTTCACTGCTGTGATCAAAAGACCTGACAAGAACAATTTTGGAGGAGAAAAAGTTTATTTAGCACAATTGGGAAGCAGAGAGAGTGAACTCTGCTCACCAGGGATAAAATATAAATCTCAAAGGTCCCCAGTGATCTACCTTCTTCAGCCACACCCTATCTGCCTACAGTTACCACCCAGTAAATCCATATCACTGGATTAACACACTGATTAGGTTAAAGCTTTCATAATCTAATCATTTCACCTTTGAACTTTCTTGCATTGTCTAACGCATGAGCTTTTGGGGGATACCTCATATCTAAATCATAATAACATGTGTTGGGGTATATATATGTTTCTCCCTTTATACTAAAAGTACATTGAGGACAGGGGCTGGGTTATGTTCATCTTTATAGCCCCTGAATCTAGCCCAATGTATTCCTATTCCATAAATTTTTGTTAAATACATGAATGAAAACGAAAAAAGTTTATACCCA